TTTTCAGTTTTGAGAAAAAAATTTTTTTCGCCAAGTTACATAACCTTGAATATAGCAAAAGTACGTGTTTTTTACACTTTTAGGTTAGAATATCTCGGAAACCTAGGGTGATGGATCAATTCTGAGGCCAGATTCGGATTCAGCGCGCCAAATGCCTTCGGAAGCGTAGTGTCTGATTTCTGGAATTTTTTTTTTGAAATTTTGTCGACCTGTGAATAAATTACATTTAAAATAAATAGTTTATGAGAATAAAGGAATTTTTGTAGCAACAAGGGTGCCAGACCTGAACTAATCCCATCGTACCTTCATAAGTATAAAGAAATTATTCAATTTGTAAAACCGTTAAAAGCGTACTTCATTGGTTCCCTTGACTGGCAATGATTTATTACTTTGCATCGAATATGATCCTACTATAGCTACTGTTATATGATTTTTAGTTCGTCGTAGGCAAATTATTTTTAAGCGCTAATAGGTGGACCTCAACTAAAGTCAATTGCCTAGTGCAGTAAGTTATCTACTTACTTTTAGTGGGAAAAACGTAAATTATATCTATATCTTCTTAAATTTAGTAAATTTCTCTTTCGTTTTCTACACTTGAAGATTTTCGGGTCATGTTAATGAAATAACATTTATTGGTATATCAATTTTTCATAACACGATGTAGGTGCCTAAAAGAAATGTTAACTCTTTTCCCAAGACTTAACTAAGGTAACTTAGCTAACTGACAGATGATTAACAAAACATTAATAGCATTTCTATGTGCTTTTATAATTATAGTTTTAAATATAGTGAGGAAAATATTTCAGATTACATTTTCTCGCTATACTCAAACTCATTTGTTTTTTTTTTAACCTACCAACTGTGTAACTGCTACTGCGGATAAAATGACCATTACATAAAACATTCCAATGGCGCCTAGATGTAAATAATCCATTTTATTTTGTTCCCCATTATAAATAATAGTTATAATGACCAAAGAGTCAAATGTATTAGTAACCACCATCGTCAATAGAGGGACAGAAACCATTCGATTGAAGCCTTCGATTCCATAAAATATGTCCTCGTACATTCGTGATGCCGCTAACAACAGTTTTATGGGCGAGTGACTGCGTTCTTCGATAGCGTTATCTCTGATGGCGTTCAGTATATTTTTAATTTTTATGAAACCGATTATGAATATTATGCAGAAAAAGTTAAAGTATATCGTAAAGAGCAAGCCAAACATAACTTGGTAGCATTCGAAGAAAAGTCTCGACAAGATAAACCATGTGGGTCTATCCAGTGTGTCGAACAAAACGAGGGCAAATTCCAAACTACTGAAAAATAAAATAAAAATGTACATTGCAAAAAGGATAATTGACAATGACTTATAATTTAAAGGTTCCTTCAAAGAAATAAGTATTTCGTCCATTGCTCGCAACTTGTTGACAGTTTCTCTAAAATTGCATTTGTTGCGGTAATTGTACAGTATCGTTAAAATCGTTCCTACTGCTTGACATCCTTTAAAAATTATTAAAAGTTTTCTAGCCCTTGTGTCATCTTCCAATTTGTAGGCTGACATATAAGATATTATTAGCAGGGAGATAATACCTAAAAATACATTTTTTTTTTGGTAAAAAGAATATCAAACCTTTTTAAAGAATCTCAGATGAACGATTGATTTTTAGAATATAACTTCGAAATTGCTCGTACTTACATAGAGGCAGTATGCCGTTTCTTATCTTTGAGGTTATTGATTTTGAATTGGATGACGATATTGCTTCAATCCCAAAAGGTGAACTTATAATGTGCAGAAGGGCTACGAAACCCTCGAAATCATATTTTTTGGTAACTAATACGGACATAGTTGTCAAAGTTCGCTGTAGTAAATAAGATTAATCCAATCAAGACTTAAGTGTTCCATATATTGATAATGTAATAGAGTAGCTTGTCTACTGATATATTATTTATCTAATGGAGGAATACATTAAGTATTATGACATTGTGATACTAGATTAAAAACTAATAATTGTTATTGACTCTTACCATTAAGAGAAATAAATATATTGATGATGCATACTGATTTTAAGTTGAAATTGTTGTTTTAACACACCATAAGGTGTTCTGGTGCTTGAGCCTTTTGAACAATACAGGGTGTTTAGAATAAGAACTGATACAAAGCAGGGGCATGTAGGGGAACCCAAAATATATGATTTCACGCAACTTACTTACTAAACTGCACCCTTGAGCAGTTGAAAGTGGGGTTGAAATTTCGAAAAAGATCAATATCTCAAAACTTAGAAAAACCAAATTTGGTACACGGCGTGAGTGTACCAAGAGCATTAATCGACAATAAGTAGAGTTCAATTGAAGCATTTTAAGTGGTTGATAAGGGATGATGCGCCATTAAAATGTGACAGAATTTTTTAACCCGTTGGCGGACTTAAAAAATTATTACTTTATTTTATGGGGAATTTAATTCTAAAACTTCTCTTTTGCTAATTTTCAAAAAACTTTTGTCGTTTTCAACAAAAACACGAATAACTATTAATACGTATTGTGTTAAAAGGTCAATCTTGACGATCAGGAAAAAAAGTTATTTAATTTTAGTAATTGTTTGCACAGTGTTTTGAAAATGGCCGAGAAGTTTTCATTTAGCGAACAAGTTGACATGCTATTCGTGTTAGGTTTCTGTGAAGGAAACTACAGAGAAGAAACATTCTGAGAGAAACATTTTCCAATGCTGAAAGACGGGCTCGAGAAACTGGCAAGTATATCAGTAACACTCGAGAACGTGCTGTTGCAAACAGGGCACAAGACGAAGAACTTAATTTGAATACAATTGAAGATGACCCACATATTAGTACTCGAATTCTATTTCGACAAACTGGTATATCGCCAACTTCTGTGCACCGAGTGATCAGACGTAATCTACTACATCCGAATTTGGTTAAATGAGTGAATTTCTGTCAGTTTATTTTACATCAAGGCATTAATTTCTAAGAGAAAATTCTCTTTACTGATGACCTTACTCTCAGAGGTATTACAAATTTATATAGCTATCATGAGTATTCCGATTCAGTAACTCCTCGATTTCCAAAGCGAGTTTAAAATAAATGTTTGAATCGGTGTTATTGATCGGTATTTAATTGGTCCGGTTATTTTACCGAATCGACTAAATGGCGAAACTTTTTTAGAATTTCTTCCGGATCTATTTGACGAGGTGCCACTACAACTCAGACTGGAGCATTGGTTTATGCATGATGATGCATTACCCTTATTTTAGTAATATTGTTAGAGACTTTTTAAACCACCAGTATCCTAATAAATGGATTGGAAGGGGAAATAATTGCCCACAAGTTTGGCTTCCACGATCACCAGACCTCCACAAATGTTACTTCTTTCTTTGGGGAATGTTAAAAGAATTTGTGTATTCCTCGCCTGTTGCGTCTCGAATTGTGGAATTGTTTTACGGATAAATGCACATTTATTAGAAACAATTAGCAGTTATTGGATACAGTAGACTTCAATTTTCGATAATGAATAAATTTATGCCTGAGAGAAAACGGTGGTCATTTTGAATAATTTCTATAACTTATCAGTGCAAATTGTATGTTATTTCTGTTGTTTAAGTTGTTTGTTTTTCTATAAAATTATTTATTTTCTAACTTTTTTCCTGATTGCCAAGTTTGACGTTTAAATTCGTAGCCAACTTTTGAATTTCGATAATTTTAAATAACAGTTACAATACATATTATTAGTTATTTGTGTTTTTGTTGAAAACGACAAAGTATTTTGGTAAGCCGAGTTAAATCACCATATTTTAGGTGCCCCTACATGCCTCTGCCCTGTGTCAGTTCTTATGCGAAATACCCTGTATAAACAAGCTTACGATACGAGCTGCGGGATATACAGATAGACGTGGTAGCACCTACGTTTTCCATTTTTTTAAGGGAGTCGAACCTCGAAAGTTTCTAAGATGGCAAGACACGTTCTAATTTACTTGTTCTTGTCTTGGGGTGGTGGTTGGGTGCAGAGCGAAGTCAACAAATTGGACTTTGGAAAAATTTTCAAATATTTGTGGCAATTTTAGTAGGTACTGCTGGGGCATTCGACAGTTTTGCTTATTCACATATCCACTAAGATGGAAACGCGTCTCGTCGCTAAATATAATTTTCTTAGCAAAACCACTGTCTACTTGTTGATTCTCCAACATCCAATCAACGAATGTCCGTCGCGTTAAATGGTCGTCTGGTTTCAATTCATGGCTTAACTGAATCTCGAATTGATACAGATGTAGATCTGCATCTATCTAAACTTTTTTAAATGTTTAATGCAGTGACCGATGGCGCACTAAGGTTACGGGAATTTCTGCACATTATCACTCACCGTAGCAATATTTTCGGCTGAACGGTCACTATGAGGCGGGCCTGTTATTTTTTAGTCTGTAAACGAACCTGTTTGTTCCAATTTGGCAACTAATCCTTTCACAGTTGTTTAATTCTACGTAATTTGCTCACAGTTTCAGCTACACACTCTCCGCACTTATTATAAATCTCCACAATCTTCACTCGGTCATCCATCATATAGCGCTCGATTTTGTCTAACCGCAACGTGTTTACTACAATATGTGAACCTGCATAATGCTGTCAACTCTTTGGAATGAAAATGGTGCACAATTCAAATCCTGCGTTACTTTTGAGACACCCTTTATATCCTAATGCTACATTTCACCATCTTTTGTCTGACAGTGTATAACGAGGTCAGGGGGGGTCCAGAGATGGACTTTAGGGGGGACGTTTGCACAGTTGATGTCTAAAAAAAAAGTCGTGCAGAAGATTGAGATTGAAATTTCATACCAGGGGTTTATTTTTACAGCTGGTTCTTTGTTGTTTTATTTGTACTAAAAGTAATAGATAAAATATTTTGGACCATTGAGGGGGGATTTGGATCCGCGCCTGAACGAAATATACAGGGTGATTCACAACTCATCCAAAAAAATTTGGGAATAGATGCGGTATGAGAAATGGAGTCAATATCGAAAAAATTTTTTTGTAAAATACAGTTTCCGAGAAAAAAATTATTGAAATACATTCAACCATTACATAGCTGAACAACTGTAGCCTCCTCAGCGACTCCGAATACTGAAATCTGATTTTACAATCGTCGTTGCGATAGTGTTTACCTGTTATCTGTGGTGTTTACAATAGTTTTTTAGTAGTTAGTGTCAAAAATGGTTTGCGTGTATAGCAACTCGGAGTTTTAATTTATGGTGAAGCAAGACAACATTTGTGTTAGTGTGTCGGTGGATAAAATTTTGAACAGTTGTTGTAACATCGGGTATGACAAATTATTTTATTATTTAAAAACACAAATTAATTTTATTAATTAATAATAACAATAACGGTAAAAGCAGTTGAATTTGCTGATATAAAATAGGTGCTATAAAATTCTATTTTTGCCGCCATGCCGGTCACATTGTGCGGGGTCAGGTTTTACAGTGGACCAGTTTCCAGTGCCGTGCAGAAGTGTATTTTTAAATCATTTTCGAACTGCCTTTTTTGATTTCTTCTTTACAAAATTGTATTTGCAAGTGTCCCCTGTACATTCAATTTTTGTGTCGATCGCAGCATTAATACTTCGCCTGGCCTACTTGGTAGGATTAACAACAGTGTATTTGATAAATAGGTACTTGTTTATTTAACACTCAGTATAACGATACAGTAACAATCATATGTGAATATATGTTGATATGTGCATCAACCAAAATTTGACAAGACGTTGGTTGCTAAATATTTCTTTCTCCAAACGAAGTCTGTAAGTCAAAAAATTTAAGTCTTTTTCGTATCTGGTGCAGCTTTATATTTCGATTTTTTTGGGTAAGTAAGTACCTAGTATATAAATTTTTGATTTGTGTTAAAAATTGCTACGAAAAAAAAAGTTTCTTTCGATAAGAGGTCTCTTGTAATGTAATGTAAAAATGCAGAAGCACAAAGTACAATTTTATGGCGCGTGCAAAGTTTGAATACGCAATGAAAGAGAAAATCTATATGTATGCATGCTAGGGGGTCGTATAAATCCAGGAATCGTGTGAAGAATGCTTGGAAGAATGATGTACATCTAAAGTAGAGGCTGCATAGAGGGTGTAACAGCGATGTTAAGACAAACTTCCGGATTCGTTTAAGAGATACAGGGAGTTTTGTAATTTTGGCCATTTTCTATGATAACTCTTTTGTTTGTGAAAATATTTTATATTTATAGAGTTTTTTTTCATGGGAATAACAGGATTCACCCCTAAAAGTTTCGAATTTTGCCCACTCTTTCCCTCAATCTTTGT